GAAACACGCTTCAAACTTTATTTAGTTACATTGCAATGATCACTTATTTAATAATTCAATTAACCAACATCCAGGGAAGTCAGACCAGCCATACTAAATCCTTCTCTTAATATAATTCGAACAAGTTGCCTACCATCTATACAATATGAACCAGTTTAAGATTATTAGTACTTTGTAATGCTCTCTAGAACGGAAATGGTCGTCAGCGTGCAATGCTGCGGTAATAATCAGCCATATTTTTTCAACTCGCAAAATTTTGAATGGCAAACATAAAACACTGAGAACTCCTTTCTGACCGAACAAAGCAAGGGGAAGCAAAAATCACGAAAGAAACCTGCCATTGTAGCTCGTCTCGCAGTCGACTCCATGTCTGGGAATTATTCAACTAGCTCGACGGTCGTAATAAAAGTAAAGAGAGCAAAACTCAATTTGTACAATCTCATTATACCTACTCGAGAGTTCGGTGCTTGGCACTGCTGAGCAATTTGAACTTGTATTTTATATGTATATACAATCTGTAGCAACGTATAAGTATATAAGGGAAACCCCTCCAATCGATGCAACGTTGTACCGCTAGGGTAGATTATATAGACGACGATTTTGCGCATGATTCAACTTTTGAGGGGAATCTTCTAATGATGTGTAGGTTACACACAAAAGCAGTCGTATGTCGATGGTGAACTGTTTGGGAAGGGGTTGTTACAACAGGCCAGGAAAAGCAGATTCGGACGTCGTCGCCACACTGAATCTAATTTGTGTCTAACTGAGCTGGAAATTGCTACCTAATAGAAGGCACTCGAGGTAATTTGATAATGATGAGTAATCTGTATTCTGATACTCATACACACATACTTCATGACCCAGCACACACTGATACATTTAAACGTCGTAAATGGATTTTGGCTGAAGCAGCTCTTCCGATTTCCGAGGTATTGTTTTACAAAATTTTACGGGTTGTGGGTCGTTAACAATGTGTACAACCAACTAGTATTATTTAGCTTTAAAATTAGTTATGAATTTCGACAATCAAGTGAATTAAGCCGACGGCACGTGAACGTTCCGAGAATGTATGGTTTTAAAATATGTTCACGAGAGTAAAAATGTTTTTTAACGTCTATTATCAATTTAGAAGAATACGGTGTCTCTGAGATCCAAAACTAAAAAAATAAACTACCGGAAGCAATTACTTGTGCTTCAGTGGAATAATAGAGTGATGGATAATTTTATAATCAAATGTTATAATGCATGTAAAACAAGTTGGTTTTTTTTTTGCAATAACCCATTTCAAGCTATTTTCATCACACAGTTCGGACTGTTCATTAACTACGTAGAAAGTTTAGGAGGGGGGGACAATTATCCACGGCCCATACAAATTTTAAAAAGGTTTAAGGTTTGCGTCCTAGACACAACCGCAGTCTAACGTAGAACTACGCAAAATTGATGTATGTCATACATTTTTGACTATTATACTTCATCCTAAATTTTTCAAGTATTTCAAAACTCGCGACAATTCGTGTTAGCATAATCAGACCAGCGTTCATCTTACGCATGAGATAATGTATTTAAATTTAATGTAATTATTAAGAATTGACAGAATATTCCCTACTTAACTACATTGGGTTGATCAATGTTGAGCTATTTTGCTGTGATCAATGTGCACTAAATTTGACATCAACATCGACTACACACTTAGAAATACCTAATCTTACACTTGACGGAATCCATCTTTGACATAAAGGATGAGCACCTAAATTTACATTAATTTTTCTATGTGTGTACAATAGGAACTGGCACTATTTCATCACACATTTTATTGTTGATTTTGCGCGTTTCGTATTAGGGGCTGTTCATTAACTTCGTAGATAGTTTTTAGGGATTCTTGCCCCCCTCCCTCACCCTGCGTAGGCAATTGTTCATACATTTTGTTTTAATTTGTATGGGCCGTGGATAATTGCCAAACCCCCTCTCCCTCCCCTCTAAAGTCTCTATGTAGTTAATGAATAGTCCCTTAGTTGCACCGGGCCCAAGTCTGCTTCCACCCCATCGCTGGTTGTCAAGGTGATCATGCCGTGATCCACCTTTAACCGCTGAATCGCTCCTGCTTACTGCAGGACCCAGTTCCTCGCCGTCCGAAGCGGAAATGAGCAGAGGCACGACAGCAGCGCTGTTTTATATCTTTTCAGGTTCAAGCAGAGCGATGTGCAACCAAGTGATACTCGATTATGACGACTGGGTTTGGGGAAAACTTTTTTTTTCATAAAAACAGTGATAAAATTATCATTTAAACATTTTTCAAAAGTTTTTAATGCAAAATTGATAAAATATTTCTTTCAGCAGACTTGTAATGTAATATCCTATCGATTGGCATATTTGGATTTTAATTTCATCTATATATGACAAAGTTACAAGTGTTCAAAACCTAACACTATTTCACCACACATATTTTTTGATTTGCACCCTAGTATAAAGGGTGATACGGTCAAAATTTGGTCAAGGGAAAAATATTCAGTTAGGCTTCCGCTTTTCCAAATCCGAATTGCCGGGCCTTACGCTTGACCCCTGCCATCAGATTTTGTACAGCCACCTTGTCCACCTTCTTCGCCGCAGAAAGCCAGTTTGCCTTGAACTGCTGCTCGCCATTAGCAGTTTTTTTGGTCTTCTTTAGGTTCCGCTTGACAATAGCCCAGTATTTCTCAATTGGGCGGAGCTCTGGCGTGTTGGGAGGGTTCTTGTCCTTGGGAACCACCTGCACGTTGTTGGCGGCGTACCACTCCATGGCCTTTTTACCGTAATGGCAAGATGCCAAATACGGCCAAAACAGTACGGAACAACCGTGTTTCTTCAGGAAAGGCAGCAGACGTTTATTCAAACACTCTTTCACGTAAATTTCTTGGTTGACAGTCCCGGAAGCTATGAAAATGCTGCTTTTCAAGCCACAGGTACAGATGGCTTGCCAAACCAGATATTTCATTGCGAACTTTGACAGTTTCATGTGCTTGAAAACATCTGCTACCTTTCCCCTTCCTTTTGCCGTATAAAACTCCTGTCCCGGAAGCTGCTTGTAGTCGGCTTTGACGTAGGTTTCGTCGTCCATTACCACGCAGTCAAACTTCGTCAGCATCGTCGTGTACAGCCTCCGGGATCGCGCTTTGGCCGTCGTATTTTGTTTATCATCGCGATTTGGAGTCACTACCTTCTTGTAAGTCGATAGTCCGGCTCGTTTTTTGGCTCGATGCACGGTTGTAGACGATACACCCAGCTTATTTGCGGCATCTCGGAGAGAGAGGTTAGGGTTTCGCTTGAAACTACCGGCAACTCTCTTTGTCGTCTCAGCGGCTTCCGGTTTCGATTTCCCCCCGATCCAGACTTCCTGGCTGTCGACAAACGTTCCCCAAACACTTTAATTACATTTGTAACGGTTGATTTGGCAACTTTTAGCGATTTTGCCAACTTTGCGTGCGAGTAGCTCGGATTTTCGCGATGCGCGAGCAAAATTTTGATACGCTGCTCTTCTTGCTTGGACGGCATTTTGACAACTGAAGAGTGAATTCCAAAATCAAAATAGGAGCAACATTCTACACACACACACCTTCAAAATGAGGGGTGTTCAGGTTTTTTAAATGCAAAATTGAAAGAAATACGTCAAGTTGATATTGACCAAATTTTGACCGTATCACCCTTTAGTCGACAAAGACGTAGTTCTACGTCAACACTGTCTACGTACGTAATGGACAGCCCCTATTAGAAGTTATTATCGAAGACATCACATCAAGAAGACTGGCAGCTTTGCCAGAATATGAGTGACAGATACAGTAGCATTGCACTTTAGTGAAGGGGGAAGCAACGCATAGAAAAATGAGCAAATACACAAATCTCTCTTCCGAGGTTGGGGTTTTTGTTAACAAATTCGTTCGGCAAATGAAGCGATTGTGCCTTCGTATGAGAAAACGGGAGCGATCCAAGACTCCTTGATATGTTGTCTTCGATATTGATATTGATTCGATAGCAATTGATTGATTGAAAACGAAAGGGGAATTATAAGAAACCCATCGAATTTTATATTAAAAAATAACGATTATTTTACAGAAATCACGATTTAAAGGCAAAACTTGTGATTGCTAAATGCAATTTTTGTAAAGAAGAGATATAATATATGATCAAATTACTATGATTAGCACAATCAATAGAGATCCCTGGATGTCTAAGAACTGTTTACTGTTGAGCTTTACAGGTTTTACAGCTTTATTCAGTATAACTGTCACCGATTTCCCAAATACGCAATTCTCAATGAGTAAAATGGGTATATGTTCAAGCATTTTTGTTTTAAAGTGTGCTTGTATCGGAAGAAGGATTTGAAATTTCATTCGTTTTTTATTTTGATTTCAAGCAGCCATGGACTTGAAAATGGAGCATGTCATAAATCTGTATAAATTCGTGTATTATCTTTTAGAAACTGAAATCTCTTCGAAAGAATAAAACATTTATGTTTCCCATCATTATAGAGGTAAAAAGGAATTATGCTGCCAGCTTTGGTTTATTTTCGTGACAAATGTGGCTGGTAATTAAAGGTAAAGGGAGAGAGATTTGTATTAAAGCATGCTTAGTTGAAGGTTATATATGTAGTATATCTGGAATATATCGATATAGAAAAATTCATGCAAGCGTTTAATCGTTATGACGAATTTTAAAAGTGAGAGTTATTCCGAATCACTGAGTGAGTGAGTAACTGATAATTGATAAAATCGCTGATTGTGACTCAGCGGAATGGACAGGTTTAATGTGTCAAACGCATTCTTTACAAACTCTTCTTGTATCATAGAAATAATAAATTTAATGATTTCAAATTTTGAAAAACATTTTTTATTATCTGGAATGAATTTTCACAACCCTAATTTTGTTAAAGATTGAAAGATATCTGGTTTGTAGATAGGTATTCTATATAAGGTTTTACCTCACTCGACTTAAATATAATTGTTTTATTGGCACATTTTAGAACTTACCCGGTAAACATGGACTTCCACCGGAACCAAATGTAGGCTTGAGGTGTGGAAAACCTGAAAATAGAAAAAAAAACAATGATTGTAAAGTACAACATTAAAATTATTAAAATGTTCAAAGTGAAACTAAACGAAGATTGTTTGTAAATTTCTCAAATTTAAAATTATCGTGATTCGCAACTGGTTATAATGTATGTTATAAATAATTACCTTACAGTAAACATCGATTCCGCATGTCTCTTAATTACTATAATCGTAATTGCAAACAAACTTTGAGTGGTGTGCAAGTAAACTCATTTCTTCGTTTTACGTATCACCATGACGCGACATCGCAAAGGTAGCTTATTAAATAAACATTTGAGAAACTGCGTGGAAAAAATGCCCACTTGAAATTATTATCCCCAGATCTTTCCGATAACATTATGCTACAAATGCTTGAAAGAAGCATAAAATTACTCAACAAAGCCACCTAATCATCGCACGTTCTAGCCGGTATAAAACTTGCTCATTGTTCGTTCGTCATCGGATATAAGTAAAATCACACCATACCATGACTACCTTGGGATCCGTATTTCGAACAAAAAGTTGCCAGTAAGTGTGTCTTTGCGCATAACAAGCTTACTTGAAATTATACACCACACCGTAATGATAGATATGATTTATGACTGACACTCAATCTCGATTTCATATTCCTAAGGTGAAAACCAACAATGTTTCACGAAGGTACCTACAACTGACCAGCCAACAGAAAAACTTCCAAGATTTTTTTGTTGTTTATTGAATTGTTCGTGAAACTAGTAAGCAGCAGGAGGAAAGCAAGGAAAGGGAGAGTACAAGTAATCATTTTAAATCGATATTGATAGAATAATTGATTAATTATATGCTAATGCTACCACCACACCGCCGCCGCTGCCGTGTACGGTGAGGGCCTTTGATGGGTAGTCCATGACTGGAAGCAACTTTGGTATTGCTTGCTTTAGCGGTTATAATTTCCGAAGAAAAATACGCCTACATTCCGCATTTTTAACCTCTTGACTCATTATTACTTCATCGAATGCTTTTTCTCTATCTCTTCTGTTGAAGTATTAGACCGTGGTATAACAAAGCAATCCACCGTTTCTCGTGGATGGAGCAATCTGCGGGCAGAGAGGTATTGTGAAACTAAATAGAACGACCGGTTAGTCGGCAGTAGCCACTAGTACCGAACATGACTGTATTTATTTTGAACAACGCTTGAACATGATCATTACTGCGATTGAATGTAATAAACGAGACGAAAAACGTTTCTCAAACATGGTTTCGAAACTTGTACGTTTAGGATTGAAGATTTTTTTCGGCGGGTAATTTTGGCTACCAATTATATGACGGTGGCGGACTGTTATTACACTATTTAGTCATTGGTATGATATTTAGTATGAGTAACCGGACTTCTTTGAACTTGAATTTTCCGAAAATTTTCTGTTATCCAAAGCTCTAATAGCACAATGATGATTTAGTCCAATACCCTGATTTTTTTGTGAGCCCCTCTTCTGTGCGTCAGAAAAAAATAACATGTTAAAAGAATTCTAAGCTTAAGGTAAAATTTCGTCAGTATGAGTATCAGTAATTTGTTTTTGCATTCAGTTTGTCGCAATGTATTAATAACACATGCAATGTGTGTGAGCCTTAACATAAAAACGGAAAGAGTTTACTTTGAAGTTATCATCATTAAAAAATAAGAGATTTTAAAGTAAGAATATATTTTTTTTATATTATTCCTCCACCTTGAAAATGTTCGTGGAATTTTGTTATCAGGCTATATTTCTATGAATTACTGAGACAGTTTCCGTATCAATTCACTATATAAAAAGTTTAGAAAGCGAAGCATACATAGAACATAAAAATTAAAATTCGTAGTCCACAGAATAAAATAAAAGTAATCGTCCTTGGGCATGGGGATGGAGGTCACAGCATTTTGACATCATCAGCATAGAACCGTCAACCGGAAGACAGTGCCTTAGATTGCTTATTGATGAATATAGTAAACAATAAAGGGCCTAAGTTGCCTTAGGCTGATAAGTTAGTCAGAGGATTCACTTCTAATCTTTAAAATGAGCTTCCGATCCGTTAGTTATTATCTGAACAAGTCTTTCAAGCTGTTCAAGCAATATCTCATGATCAACACGATCATTTGATTCATCATGCTCGAATCTAAAAAATATCGATTCGAATTCCGCAATGTGACCCTAAGTGATGTGGTCGTTTGATTGCATCGCTGGAATGGAACCCATGCTTTTCTGCACAGTAAGCGAAAATGGTTACCACGAGGTCACTGAGCTCTTTATATCACGAAAACAATTAATATTGTCTAATCTACAATTATTATCAGCCGTAGCAGTAACCAGATTTGAAAACAAAAATCCATTCGCAAAATAAAAGCATTTTATGAATTCACTCCTATACCGCGCGGTGCAAAGTTTTGAAATGATCATTATGTTCATAGTTGTTCTATTCTCCGCTTTTTGATTACTTTGATTTTCCAAATGACTATAATTCGAATCATGCGTTGAATACGAGATAATTTTAGAGTAACACATCTAAAATTATAATAACTTTATTAACTGTGCGATTAGCCAATGCCTGGTTTTTTGTAGGCGATACTTAATACATCAACATTATTTTCACATTCACCCATATTCGGTAACAAGTTAGAACCGTATTTTCCAAACAAATGTTTTATTTTTGTATGGAAGAACGGTTTGAACGAAAACGAGAATATGGGTGGTTATCTTCAACGCTACTGCTGAGAATATACAACTTGAAGCATGAATAGAGCTATATTACCCACTTACCCCTGTTCTGAAAATAGGTATAAAGGTTGGATGAGATGCTGCAGATTTATTTGAAAAGAAATCCCTTCTTATGGTTTCTCACTTAAAATTTCCCGATACCAAGGATGACATCTTACACTCCGCATACGATATCACCCAGAGAAAAGGGCAAAGCTGATAATATGCATCGATACGCAATGGCGATTCTATCAATCATTGAGTGTGTTGGTCATACATAAAAAATAAGAGCAGCCGACCATCGCTATACCCGTTTTTGCAATGAGAACACATTTTCGTATTGAATAAACATCAATTTGGTGGAACCGAATCTAACGAGTTGATTGAAGGTAAGCTCCATTATTATATTGATTTGAACCCCTCAATCACTCTTGAAACTCTAGGAATCGATGGCAGCAAACTGTACAGTGGCATGTAAACATATACACCCACATACAGATTTATGTTCGTCAACCGTTCCTGACTCGTGTGTAACTACAATTGGAAAAGTGCTTCCAGAGGAGAATGGCAGTATTTCTCCTGTAGCAGTACTCACGTCGAGTTTTCTTTTGCGCTTTTCGTTGGTTTCTTTGAAAAGCGATGGAAGGTGTTCTCGTAAGAAAATTCCACCTTCACCAGCAGAGTGGGCCTGTAAACCAAAAATGTCGGAAAAAGTTTGAAGTTACTTTTTCAACGGAACTAAATATGAATCAAAGGCACAAACGTGACACACCCCACAAGGTCTGAACTCAGTTCCAGTCCAGTTATTTACACATCTTTCATCGAAACAGAATTTGGGTAAGAGTGTATAAAACGCCCCACTGAAGCAAAACGCCCTCTTTGCATTTATATGGATGTAGCATTAATTTGGGCATTCCAAGTAATTAGTGAGAGCAACTAATATTGTATTGTTTGAAATTTATGAATGATATAAATGAATAGTATAACCTGATATATCAATATAAAAAGATGCAGGAATACAATTTATTAAATGAAATGTATAGTATTAATAATAAATATATATTAATATTGAAGAGGTCATCCAGTTAGGGAGAGATAGAGTAAGGAAGAGTAAAATGTAGCAGAGCAACCGAAAGAAGTTTAATATAATAATATGGAGGCAAGATCCTGCTTCACGACAATGAATTTTGTTCCATTGAAAGGAATTCCTGAAACTAAAAATAAATTATTTTGCGTACTGTTAAGCAAATAAAATAATATAATATATTAACATGTAATATTTTTAAAAGGCCAGACGTAGGCTGAAAAATAGATAATTATTTTAATATACAGGTTGAATAGCCTGCTTAGTTGGCAACACGCTAACTAACAAACACAATACGTAACACGAAAAAGGGTCCATCATCGCTGACCGACTCTCCTCATTAGCCCTCACCTTTGCGTACAACGTGAATGTAAATGAATTTTCCATCAAGTGTGTTGTTTCACGCACAAGCTAACATCATCTGCTGCCGAACTGTGCTGCGAGTATAGCGAGAAATACGTTTATTTTGCCATGATAAACCAAAAGAAAGTCGATGAAGAGAATGTTGCGTGAGAAGTCACCCAAGCATGAATCATTCACTCAACCTACCAACATCCATGACATCTCTTCACTCACACTACCCTCATTTGTTTTCCAATTCAAGCTGAACAATGCATCAGGTCCCCAGCAACATTGACCGATTCTCCTCATGGATCCTTTCTTGCCGTGTTTGTCGTATAAAATGCTAGATAATATCTTGTTTCACCGCTGTGTGTACTGAAATTAGCTGGGAATGTCTTAACATGACAGTGAGGATGCAAAGAGTAGGTTTACGAAGATGGTGGTGTAGTGGTAAGCGTGACTGCTTTCTAACACCCCAGTGGGTCTGGGTTCAATCCCAGCCGAGGTCGGTGGGATTTTTCTGAGGCATAAAAATCTCTGGTCACGTCTTCCTTCGGAAGGGAAGTAAAGCCGTTGGTCCCGGCCCATGTGTGTTGTGAATGGGTGCGATATCCTACGCAGGTGTGGAAGCTGCCTTCCTGCACGTTCGGTTGCCGTCAATGGATGGCAATCGATGTCCGTCGGTGATTGGCACTAGATTGCGGAACAGAGACCGACGTTAAATAAAGGAAAAGAAGAAGATAAGCCGTCAATGCCATCTAGGACCCAATGCAATGTTCAGTTTAAATTTTTGGATAAGTTCAATCTCCGTCCGCCAAACACAAGTTCCGATAATAAAGATGGCATTTTTGATCATGAAAACT